ATGGTCTCCAATTCCATCCAGGTTGATACAAAAGATACTAGTTCATCATTTTTTATGGCTGAATAGTACTCCATGGTGTACATACACCACGTTTTATTAATCCACTCATGTACTGAGGGGCACTTGAGTTGTTTCCACATCTTTGGGATTGTGAATTGTGCTGCTATAAACATTTTGGGGCAAGTGTCTTTTCATAAAATGTCCTTTTTTCCTTGAGATAAATATCCAGTAGTGGGATTGCTGGATCAAATGGTAGGTCTACTTTTAGTTCTTTGAGGTGTCTCCACACTACTTTCATAGAGGTTGTACTAGTTTGCAGTCCCACCAGCATTGTATAAGTGTGGTGATTGCCTATTCACAATGAATCTCCCAGGAGTCCTTTGAGCTTCTTGTACCTAGATGTATGAATTTCTTGCAAGGCCAGGGAAATGTTCCTCAATTATTCCCTCAAATAGATTTTCCAATCCTTGTGTATTTTCTTCATCACCTTCAGGGATGCCTATGATTTTTATATTAGAATCTCTTTACATAATCCTGTGTTTCTTCTAGGCTTTGTTCTTTCCTATCATTTCTCTGTTCTTTCTCTTTTACTGTCTCTTTAAATTCAAAGGTGTTGTCTTCAAGGTCTGAGATTCTTTCTCCTGCCTGATCCAGCCTATTCTTTAGGCTTTCCACTGTGTTTGTATTTTCTTGAATGAAATTTTTCATTTCCAGAAATTCTGTTTAATTTTTTTTAATAATTCAACTTCTTTAGTGAATTTTTCATTCATTTCCTGCACTTTTTTGTAGTTTCTTTGTGTTCAGTTTCTATTTTTCTTGTTATTTCATTGAGCATCTTTACAATCTGTATGTGAACTTCTTCATCTGCCATTTCAATCTTTTTGTTCTGGTTGGTATCCATTGGGAAGGAGTAATTGTTTTCTTCTGGGGGTGTTCTTTCCCTCTGACTTTTTATGTTTCCAGAGCTCTTTCACTGATTCCTTCTCATCTGGCTGCTCATTTGAGACCTGGGGGTGCTAGGCCTGGCTTACAGGCCTGTCTCCATGTTCCCAAAGATCAATCCCTGAGCATGCCAAAGAGAGAAGTGCTGGTTGTGAGTTGCATTTGGGGCATTCTAGCGGGTTTGATGAACCTTTTGGGTTACCTCTGACCTGCTGTCTTCACCTCTTCCCAACAGTATGTAGTGAATTAGGTCCCCCAGCTTAATCTCTGACATGATGGGTGGTACTTGTACTCACAAGTACAAATTAGCCACTCCCTGTTTGCTTGAGTTGGAAGGCAGTATGCTTAGCTAGGCGGTTGTTCCCCCATCATTGATTGAAGTTTGTGTGGAAGGGCCAGCTGTCAAGATGGTCTTTTGTGCTGGTGATAAGTTCTGGTCCCCCAGGTAGGGCACACAAATGCTCCAAGCTTTAGGAGGGACCCTGTATCTCCCAGAGTATTGCTTGATCTTTACTCCCGTTGAGATTGGGGGAGGAACGAGACAAATCAGGGTTGGTTTTCTAGAGCTTGAGAGGTTTTGCAAAGCCTTGGTGAGGCTCAGAGGTTACTTATCGGGCCGCTAGGGGGAGCCTCTGTTTAAACTTCAGGGTAATCTCTCCAAGCCGGAAAGGCTGTTCCCAAGGAAGAGGGCTAATTCCTTGAGAGCTAAGGGCCCTGGGCCCTTGTCCACTAGGGCAGTTTCTCTGTGGGGTGGGGCGAGCACCCTCCCTATTTGCTCCCTGGAACTCCACAGTACTCTCTCTTCAGATCAGTCTACCTGAGTTTCCTCACCTCCCAAGATTGGCTCACGTACCACCCCTCAGTCCCTGTGTCAGACCCACCAGCATGCTTCTCTGCTGTTCGCGGGCAGGTAGAGGGATCCCCAATTGCGCATGTCTGTCCCACAAGAAGGTCCCATGGAGACAGAGGTAAGGTAGGCCTCATCGTCTGTAGGGGCCCTTGTTAAGGGCATGCTCCTGCCAGGGAGAAGCGACTGCTCATGAGTTTTTGTCTCAGCCTGTACTCCCTGCTGCGATGAGAGGGGCGAGGGGCTGCTGCTCCAGTTTAGCCAGACTCCCAAGGCATTCGCTTGTCATGGGAACAAGGAGCTAGGCTAATTCACTCCCAGCTCCGCACCTCTGTCGAATGTGAGAATATGGTGATTCTCCAGCAGCGGTGGGTGATGAGCATGCTCACAGATCCCCATTCCTCAGCACGCCTGCGCACTCTCCCATTGGATATTTCCACTAGGGCTTCCTCACCACCGAAGTCCGGGACCAAGACCTCTTCCCCGCATTTCTCCACACTGCTCTCATGTCTGCGGGGCAAGCGATCCTGCAATATGCCAGCAGACAAGAAGCTCCCACGCAAACTGCAGCAGCCCCATCTCAGTGGCAGGCTCAGCTGGAAAGCGCTCCTGCCACAGAGAAGCAACCATTCATGTGCTTCTCCGTTCAGAGTATTTTTGTGGTTGCAAGGGGCTGAGGAGCCGTGGCTACCAACTGGCCAGAGCTAAAATTGCTTTCTCTAATGCCATTATTGGAGAAATTGCAGAGGAGGAAGTGTCTAGGTGTAAGAAACTGGCACTCCAGTCTCTCGTGGCACTCTCCCATGGAGTGTCCTTTTTTAAACACTCGTACTCCTGGAGTTTGCTGATTCACCCTGCCATTCCTATTTAGCAACTGTGCCTGGGCTCCTGGAGAATGGAAGTGCCTCCAATACGTTTTGCATCCTGCTGTTCACAGAAGGTACCTACCTGGGGGAGGGGAAGCCCCCTTTCCTTTCACTCGGCTCTAAGCCTTTCTGGGTTTGGTCCGTTCTCTGTCTTCTATCTTTTTCTTTCTCAGCTTTGCAGTTTTTCTCGGCTGGATCCTCAGGCATCTCTGTTGCCTCTCCCTGTGATCCACACCTGAGCTGCAATTGCTCTCTGCTCTCCTCAGTCCAATATTCTACCTTCCAGCTGATGATCCAACAAGTGATATCTCTAGTCAGCCATCTTGGCTGGTCTCCTCAGTAACATTTTTTTAAATTAAAAATGGGGTCTAATATTGTTGAAAAGGGTATTCAAAGACCAAATGCACTCTCTTCCAAGGATCATGACATATGTTCAAGGTAACTATTAATCATGCTTCCAAATTCTTTACGCATTATAATAAATATTCTTATAAATAAGATCTTCTTTGACCTCCACATCTAAGAATTTTGGCATTTGTAACATTATTATTTTCACAGGGCTGTACTTTATCTCCTTCCTACATATATTATAACAATCTGTTCCACTCTCCCACTCTACCATGCACAGAAGAGAACATATGGGCTTTATGATGAATATAATGAAAAATTACTGAATCTAAGGAGAATTCATATGTTTCTTGCTATGGTCTGCTTGACTAATGTCATTAGAAACCCTGTTCTAAAACTTTTAATGAGACTTTATGGGAGATTAATGTCTATGAAAACACAATTCTGAGGTAAGGATATGTTTGTCCTTAAAAAGAGAATGATCATAAGAAAGTAACAATAAGATTCAAAGAAAATAAGAGCTATAGTCAAAATCTCAGTGGGCATATAGAGTGGTGCATTAACTACAATTTAGCAGGGGAAGAAAAAAATAGAGAACTATTGAGCTTTTTTTTACATAGAAACCATTTTATAAAACATTAAATTCCATTTTCTTTAAAAACATTTCTCTATGTAAGTAAATGAAAGCCAATCCCTGCATTTCTCATAACTAAGCACACCTGGCTGAGTGAGTCCTTTAACAGTTTTTTTACCCTAAGTCTCATGAAGTAGGGCAATATTTTAATAGGATGAGCAGGAAATTAACCTTGCTGCCTTTATAAAGCCCAATATTCTTAATGTTTCCCTGAGGTAAGTCTTTGAATATCCAAGCCACAGTCATTTGTCTCCAGTTCATATTCGCCAGTTGCCACACCAAAGTCTCCATTCATCAAACTACAGTCACCTGTCACCAATGACCAAGCCATGTTCATTAGTTACCATGTTAGTCACCTGTCACTAATACAGTCATAAGTCACTAGTCACCATTGCAAATTCTCTATTCACCATGTTACAGTTACCAGTCACCAAGCCACAGTCACCTGTTGCTAAGTCAGTTGCCGGTCACCAGGTCACACTGACTCCATGTCAGTCAATAGTCACTGAGTTATAGTCATCCAAGTCATGGTTACCAGTTTTCTATGTTCTGAATGTTTGAGTCAACTGAAATGGGCTTTCTTTTTAAGATGTCTACATGTCCACAATTTTAAACAATTTCAACATTAAAATTTTCTTCCCCCAAGGACAAACTGATTTTCCTTCCCTACCTTTGGTACATGCCATGATGTTTTCCAGATGGTATTAAACTTTCAAAGATACTTATGTAAATCTAGAATCCAAGGCCTTGTGTAGGCTTTATGGACTGCCAAATGATTAGGAACCAAAAGAATGATTATGAATAGAATCATTTTATTTTCACAATTGCCCTATTTTCTCCTTCTATCAAAGCAATTTCAAAGGAGTCTAAAGCCACTATTAAAATGTAGTGACTTCCTCCACAGCAACCATGACCAGTAATACCAGAACTTTATAGATAAAGTGAGCCAGAGAAGAGACCAGCCAGTGTGGCATGGGCAGGTTTCCATGAAATGGTTTATGCAAAAAGGAGATGAAACTACATTGAGTTTCCACTATATTTTGGCCTACACTTGGTATTTAGTGAAAAAAAAAAAATCACAAGAAAAATGTACAGATGCCAAGTGATCCAAAAGTCACCTTCAGTAGACATGGATGGCCATGGTGTAAAGGCAAAGTTATCAGAGTTTTAACTGAGACCTGTCGACTATCTGTTATTAGAGGTCTAATCTATAAACTCCTTTCAATTCTAACATACACATAGCAGGAAAATCAAAACAAAGAACATGTATTTATTAGAAGAAAGAAATCCACCCAAAAACTCTCCAAAGAGGAAGGAAAAACACAGATATTGGCAATTTAACACAAAATCTCTTTATGTTTACCCAGATCCGTTTGACCACTGTGCCAGTGAGGTATGGATCCCATCAGAATTAACTTCAACTCCAGCTTGATATCTTTGAAATTCAGTGGTCTTTGGTCTAAATGTTTTTAAGATCCCTTCTTCTTTCAAAGTCTATGGCCTTTAACTTGTTTAAATTGTTGTCTATATGTAGACCCTAGTAAAAGATAGAAACAGTCATTAGTAAATTCATCCCTATTCCTAGAAAAAAACAAATCACAAGTCATGCCATAGTTCAGTAAGTAATTGTTTTTATTCCCATTTGTAAAGTGCCTTTAGTATTGTAACTGTGTGTTCTCCAAGCTTAGTTACTCTCCTTGATCATTGATTTTTGAAAAAGTCACTGAAGTCTCTTATCCTACAACTTAATTATGCCTCTGTAAGCGATATAAGTAGTTTAGAAATTCCCTTTTCCTCCATTTAACTTAATCAAAAGTTACTTCTTCAATAAAGATTCCCAATGCTACGGTAAGCAGCTTTATGAATCAGAGAAGAGTTAAGGAGAAGAATCCAAGCAGTAGGATGGAATCAGCAAAAGACATTGCCAATAAGTGTCAGGCTAACAGAATTGCTTTAAATCTTAGATAAATTAAGGTAATACCACATAATTTCAAATACTACCAATAATTCCCTACCAATTCCCTACCGGGATGAAATCTTTTGTAGACAAGATAGAGATCAATGACAACTAGCTACTTTAAACACAATGCATTCCTCTCTCCTTAAATGTTCCTGTAATACAAATGCCTTCTCAGCAATGGGATACATTAGTTTCTGGTAGACACTAATTCCACATGTAAGTGTTTAAAGTATAGCACCTTTTATTTATAATTTTTAAAACCTAGAAGAATTTTATATTCCTGAGAGAAAATAGCTCTTGTTTCACTATGCTTTTGGTGTTTTAAAAATACAATCAAACAGCTCAACTTAAAAGCAAAAACAAAAAGCCCTTGAAATAAGTTTATGTATTAGTATATAATCAGCAAGAAGAAAGTGTCATTTTGACACTCAAGAAAAATATGTAATTATCACACATTAGCAGCAGGATTGAACTGTAACTTTCAGCAAAGACTACTTTCCCTGCGTATGATAGGGCATTTTTGTTACTGTGAGCCTGATGGGAAGGGGAAAGCATAATGGGAATTGTGCCTGGAAATGATAAAAATCAATGAATAAACCACAATTCTCATTTGGGAAAGAAAAGAAACTTCACAATGAAATTGTATAAGTAAAATAGGGAAAAAAACATTGTAAGGAAGAAAGTCTGAGCCCTGGTTTTACCTGAATGTTTAGTGTTCAGAATATTCTAGGAGGCACCATGGAACAGAACTGATAACGGAGTACTTGTATTACAGAAAATATAGTTCATTTGAGTTTTTTAATTCATTCTTGCACTAATGTGAATAAGTCTAGGGTAGTAGAAAGGATATGGGCTTTGGAGCCAGATAGAAATGGGTTTCAATCAAGTCTCTAGCATACACTATGCATGAGAATGTAGACAATTCATTAACCTCCCAGGGAATTTGTTATTTTCTCAATTTAAAAGAATTTTACCCAGAAATTGTCAAGGTAGGGTTGAATGTGACAGTGTACTCAAAATTTCCATGAAGGGACTGTATTAGATGTTTAGGATTGCCATAAAATTACCCTAAATTCGGTGGCTCAAAGCAATAGAAATGTATTATTTCACAGTTCTGGAGGCCAGAAGTCCGAAGTCAAGGTCTTGACAGGACTATACCCTCTCCAGAGGCTCTAGACCTTTCCAATTTTTGTGGCTACAGATGTTCCTTGGCTTGCTGTGTCACTCCAATTTCTGCCTCCATTTTCACATGGTTTTGTTTTCAGTGTCTTTTCTTCTTCTATCTCTTATAAGGGCATTTGTCATTGGATTTAGAACCCACCTAGATAATCTAGAATGATCTCATCTCAAGATCCTTAACTTCATTTTACCTGCAGTGACACTATTTCCAAATAAGTTCCCACTCAGAGGTTCTTAGACAAAGATATATCTTTTGGCAGACCACCATTCAACCCACATAAGACCCAAAACATAAAAGTACTCAATAAATGGCAGATTTTTACTGATGGAATATAAAAATGTATAAACTCACAGGAAGTTTGAGAAAGATAGGGAAGGATGGTTGGTGATGCACAGGATCCTAAAAGTAAAATTTGTCCTCAGTTGACTAAGATCAACATTTTTCTAAGGCTAAAATATTTATATAATTTGTATAATTTTCTTATATTCACTTAAGTTCATGCCTTACCAGAATAGTTCTAGAGAGAAGGAGCCATGCCTTCCCTCTTACTATGACATCTCAAGGGCCTAACACCGAGCCTGGCATTTAGTGAGTGCTCAATATATACGAATTAAATAAATGAATGATTAGAAAAAAGTGAATGTCCATATGTCAAAGTCTCACAGCTAATGGAGGCAGAACCAGGTTTAGAAACTTGTTATTCTGATCACCATTACTGCCATTGGTAAACTACTTTTGTGTTTGTTAGGTTTTTTTTGATACAAGCAAACTGAGCTATATATCAGTACTGTAAGAAAGTACCCAGAGAAATCCATCCTGCTGTTTGACTTGGAGTTACCATGTGGCTGATCAGTCATTCAAGGAGCTTGATCACTGACTAAGCCATATGGTTCTGGTTAGTTACACTGAACAGATCAAAGGAATTCTTTGCAAGACAATGTTGATGTTCAATATGTGTCATCAGTCATGAGAGCCAAGATTATTGCAAAAAGGAGCACATGTGGTTGGATTTGGAAAGCTCTAGACAAGGTTCCCTACAGAATGTGTCTTCTACCTTCTAAAAGTTTCCATTAGAGATTAGTTCTTTAGAGTGCAAAGGCATTGCATTTTTGAAAAATCTCCCATTAAAATGCAAATACTCCCTGGGAGGGCATCAAATTTTATGTTTTCTATCTAGCAATGCAAATGTGTGGAACATGTAATGTGTGTGGCATTGTGCTAGATACTGTGAAGTCTACAAAGATGAACAGGATATTGCCCTTGTTTTCAAGAAGTGTGTGGTTTGTGGACAGATAACTCTCTGTACAGCTAAATCTAATTCAAGACAGAAAGTCCTATATTCCAAAATAAAGGTACCAAGTGTTATAAGAACAAAGAGAAAGAAGCTACTAATTCTGATTGAAAGGACAAAGATGTGGTAGAACTTGAAATGGGTTTTGAAAAATAGGTTGGGAAAAGAAAATGGGTTTTCTTTTCCACAAGAAAAAATAAAGGAAAGGCCATTAGAGGTTGAGCAAAGTAGGAAAAGCCAACAGCCAAATAATAATAATAATAATAAAGGACAGAGAGAAATTGAGTAGTGGGCTAAGAAGGAAAGCACCAACTCCTATCCCAAGTATTTATCATAATTTCAACATTTTCTAAGAGTACAGAGAAAGTCCAGAAGAACAAAGAAGCTCCATGATTTTGGATTTTGGAGCTGGAGAGCACTGAGTGATAGTTAGAGATAGCATGGTCAGAAAAAAGAGGATTCGGGGAAGACCAAGTCCAAAGCTGAATGTTGTAGACTGGAAAGGAATCCTCTGCACTCATTCCTATCCTTTTCCAGATTTCAAGGTTGATCTCAGAAGCCACCTAGGTTGTAGCACCGACCGAGAGTGAGCCATCCAGCTGCTCTCAGGAGGCCCAGAGCTGTTGTCCTGCTAAACAGAGATGTGCACCCTCCACTCAGAACCCCACCAGCCTTTCCTCTCTGTTCTCATGGCTGCTATTCTTTGGGTAACTCTTCCAAACCAGTTTCCAGCTCCAGCCCCACTCCTATTTTTTTTTTCTTCTTTCTTTTCCATTTCTTCCCCTTCATGCTATTGCTAAAGAAGACTTTCCATTCCTTTTTTATTCTCAATACTCTTGTGCAGATATACAGTATCTGCAGGCAGTTCTAATGGAAATAAGAAGACAATACTATCACTAAAAGTCCTTAAGAAAAGGCCAGTTAGTGGCCCCCATATATTTACATAGGAAAATTGTCTATTTAACTAATGTGGTGAGGAAAAAAATTATTTTTGCTAAACTGGGGGAAATCAATTCTTCAGCGCAATACATTTCCATGGCCTAATAAAGGATTGATAGCACACCTAGTGTGGAAATAACACTTAAAAGCCTCAGCCTATGCCTTTGTAAGCCCAAAATTGCTGTTTTTAAGTGTCTACTTCCTGCTGAGCTGCTTTTGTTCCCTTCAAGAAACTTCCCTGATCTATTATGGCTGATGCATCCTTCTAATTTTCTTAAGCATGTAGTCATTTCTAAGGATATCTTCATCCATTTTATATAGGGCTTTTAAAGTAATTTTTAAAGGAAAATGAGTATGTAACAGCAAAATGCATGTCTGAGGAGCATTAGGCATGGAAGATATCTCTTAATTAGATATCTCTATCTCTATAGGGATAATTTTTTAAAAAGATACCATTTTCCATTGTTACTATCAAGTTCAAACATGGGAATTAGTGATTCCCTTAAGATTCATGTTGCCTCTGTTTAAATAGGGGGTTATTTGGGGACAGGCACATTTGAGTCACTGTTATTTTACATATCATTTGGATAATATGAGGACATCGATGTAACAATAAGTTTACTAACTTTTTCTAGTTTCTGAAAACTTAAAGTACTTACATATGGAAGATTACAATTTCTCTAACCTAATTGAAAACCTCATTTTTTCTTTTACTTTGGAAGAGTTTTAGGTAACAACAAAAAAAGCACCTTCATCTTTACTTTTGGAGTCTTTGTTCCCTCACAATTTTCTTTCATTGATAACATAGAATGATTTTTTTATCCCTATTCTTGTTCAACAATGAGAGTTGGAATTAATAATAGCTTTTATGTTTTATTTCCTTTTGTTTCAAAGGTGAAGTAGTTATTAACTGAAACAAAAAAGAACTGCCTTTGCCATTATATTTTAACATTCTTTGTTAAAGAAAGGAGGAAAAATAAGGGTTCTCCCAGAAAGAAAGACAACTGAAACATAACAATGCCTGGTTACATGCAGCTTGTGAGGGACTGACATAGAAAAGATCATTTTTCATTTCTTTATATCACAGTCTAAGTTTCACTGCTAAAAAATGAAATCCCAAGATGATTCGCAAATAGAAATTTTCTTTCCAGCTATAAGGCTTGGGTC